AGTGGCGGTGGTGGAGGTGAAGGAGGAGGAGGAGGAGGTGGACATCGCGGCGGTGGAGAGTGGGCTTCCTTCTTGAGAGGTGGAGGAAGATCGCGCGTAGAGAGAAAAGAGAATGGGAGAGCCGCGTATCCACGCGTGTACCCGCGATGCGAGATCCGCGAGACGCGAATAGAGACGGTTGATGCAGGTGGCATCGGGGCGAGGAAGAGAGAAGTATTCGCTAAATGATGGATGTATTTGCTTTTAATCGGAATTCCGCGGAAGAGTCTTGTAAAATTTCCATGGATAGTAAAAGATCCCTCGTAATCCTAATTTGTGGAAGGATTGTATTAATTCGCATGAAATTAATTCGTCGATGCACACTCGCGTCGGTCTTTGTTAATACATAGGTATGCACATGATTAATACGCGTTTCATCGACATTGCTGCGTCATCGTGAAAATTAAAATAGAAAGCTTGAGCAATGGAAAACAGATATACATCTTATAGAATGTATTTGCTAGATTTAGATTCGAGTATTCAGAATGAGATCAGAATGCCACGCGCGAGGTGCACGCGCGCCGAGGTGTGCACTCGTGGCCGAAATCGTCGCGCGTGCGAATGCGCCGCGATGCAGCTGTGAAGAGCACGACGGAGCTTTCACGGTCCACGGTGACGTGGAGGACAACGGATATTGTTAGTGGGTTATGCAGAAGGAACTCGTAAACTTTTGTCCGGTGAGAGTCCGGGAGGGGAGGGGGGGGGAGGAGGACGGAAGAAGAGCCGCTCCGGCTTCGTGGAGAGCGAGACGGCGCGGGAAGCTGGGTCGGGTTAAATGAGCGACGGGCGGGGCGGGATAAGGGGCACCCGCGCACATCGATGAGAAAGAGAAAAATTTTATCTTCCTCTCTTTACGGGCGGGTAGAAGAAGATGGGAAAGAGGACTCGCGTATGTGTATGTCGAGTGGATACGTCTATCTACATACACACACACAAACACACACACACACACACGCACATTCGCATATTGACCAAGCGAATCACTGGTAAATACCAGAGGCCCACCGCCGAGAGTGAGTTGCGCGCTTGTGTGCGTGAGTATGCGTGTACGCTCGACGACACATCGCGGGGAAGAGACCTCCTCGAGGCATTGAGTGCTCGTACGTTTGCCGAACTGAACGAGCTACGTCCGGAATGCCCGCTTTCACAAGGAACCGACGGATAGCCCACTGGCAGATAGTCAATGATGCCTCCGGACATCACCCTGCTGCGATTAGGTAAAAGCCAGCGGCTTTCTATGTCTTCAGTTCTTGATGTCGTAAAACGAAGTGGCGGTCACAGCGAGAGACAACGTTCTCTATCTTTTATATTTTTCTTCCCAACATTCAGGGGAGTGACTTAAAACGTCGTAGATATTTCGGGCAAAATGTTTCTCGATACCTTAAATATTTTGAAACATATGAAAGAGCCCGAAGAAACCCGTTTGGGCTTAATTTGATTTCACCTTGTGAAACTATTTTCTCGCAGCAATTGAACATTTTTATATCGATCAATATTTTAAATTTGAATTTCTAAGCCGTTGTATCAGGAGCGGTTTGTATATTGGTCTCTGTTAGTTTTGATTCTCGATTCTCACTGGGGTTGAAATTAAAGGGAGATGAGGAATATAAATTTGCCATTGACAAAAGCATCGTCATTGAGATTTTCTTATGCCAATTGACTGAGCGCTGCAGGAATGACATCAGACACGTTCCTAATATCTCTCTTTATCTAATCGCAACGGTATCGCAAACCTTTGAAGAATCCTCCGTACAGATCTCTCTGGTTCGGTCCTTGAAGAGACGTGTAAATAAATCGTTTAATGATGGGGAGGTTGCAGCAGACGTCTGACCGTGCAAGGTCAAGTGGTTCCTCGCCGCGGCGATGTTTGAACCTTCTGGGGGTTCATTGATCCGGTATGCGATTTGGCTGATGATCGATGAGGTACTCCAGCACGCGTACTGTCTCACATCTGGGAAATCTGACAGATGATGAAGTAAATCGACTGCCATGAAATAAGTTAAGACTGCACTTAAGAATGCCTGAGCTTGAGTTAGGAATGTCTAAGCAGGCATCGACGGCCTTTTTATTATAATAGACAGGCTAGACGCAGACGTATACAGAATAGCTTATGATATTGTACATAGTATACGATAAAAAAGATATGTATGTGTCATTCTTCTGTTAATTCTTCGTCGTTCATAAATTTAAAAAAATGATGTTAGGAGCTGAAAAGATTAAAGCGCGATTAAATTAACTATGTTTTTTATGTTTTTCAAGATTGCATCTTTTTCAAATTACAATTGAAATTAATCAATCGAGAGAGCCATTCCGAATATTTCATTTTCATTTTTTGCTCATCGATGCTGCAAACGTAATATTTCACGCTTTCGACAAGATATATCGAAAAATATGAATATATTCTCTCTACGAGTGTCTGACTTACGTGATTTCGCAGACATTTAATGGAATACCTGTAGGATTTTTTTTTCTCACAGATCACTATGTCGAGCCCGCCTGAAACACAGGTCGCGAAGGGTTAGGTAACACATCGAACGGCGAAGTGTAGTGGCGCGCGATGAGAGATCGAGCTGCGAGCCAACTCGCTCGGTTATTGTACGACATATCGAAGATGCTTATCGAGGGGACGGCATCCACCGTCTGCGCTCTGTCTCTCCCGTGGAGTTACTCCGTGCGCGCGGCTGTTAGCGACCCGAGTATCTACCTGACCGCCTCGTTAGCTCTCTTCGTGGAAGCGCGCCCTTGCTCTTTCGTAGTAAGAAACCGAAGAAGAGAGACCGGCTCGCGATCTCTTTTCCTTCCATCCTTTGTCGCTTAGCGCGGCTATTAAGCGCGTCAAATATAGCGTTGCGTCTTATTATGCACATCTTATCGACACGTCGCTTTTTATCGCTTCATTGTTATATAATAATTGTATTACGTTGCGGCATATTACGCAGCCGCTATCGTGAGTCGTGTGAGATGAATTGAATCACTTTGCGGAGTGCTGATTTAGGAATGTGTGCGGGGAATGATGACAATGACGGCACATCGGTCTCCAACCCTTTCTGAAGATTCCGATCGCGTATATCTTACATACATATGCTAATTTGTTCGTTCCCCCCAAAAAAAACTGCTCACCATTTTTACTCGACGCGCTGACCGTTAAAGAGACAGAAAAAATCTTTTATGTCATTTAAAATTAATCACGCATGACATGTTGAGATGTTATGATTGCTCACTTACACCGCTGTTCAACGGTTCGCATGTTGATCTCTCTGAGATCGATCGATCGACGAATTCGCATAGTTTGCGATGCGATACAAGAGGGAACTTGGTTGACTCGATAGGTCAAGTGCAACGGCTTGTTCCGTCGTTGATGCATCGCGGATTTCGTCGCATCGGTCGGCGCGGGGGCCGCGGAAAGCGCACGAAACATCGCGCTGTTGTGCGCTTTTGTTTTCTTTTCGCGTAACGGGCGCAAGGTCACTGGAATTCCGCGCGTATCCTCCGACTCTTTCGCGTGCGGCCGAAACAAGGAGAGGAATTTCACGAGCGTGTCCGTGCCACATTTGAAAGGCCCGCCTTTCCTTTTCTCTTCCCAACAAGAGATTGCGGCTCCTCTTTTTTTTAGATTCCTCCTCCCTCTCTGTCTGTTTCCCTTTCTCTCCCTGTTCCTCTTTCTATCCTCCTCGACCGGAACAACGTTCATCCGCGCGTGTGCGCGTGTGTGGCCCGGATAATTAATCGCGATTTATTTGCCTCGACATTGTTAATTTTAACGAGCAGAGAAGTATTTTTATTAGGTGCTTGAGCCGCGCCGCTCGGGAATAATTTGTACGCAAATGCGCGTTTAATTTAATTTATTTACGACGCGGAATGCCGGACGTTGGAATGTCCGGCGTGCTCCTTTTTACAATTCAAACGTACGTGTCGTAAACCGCGATTTGCCGCTTATCGCCGCTGCCGCCGCCGCCGAGTCGCGTAAACGCGACGACGAGGATCTCTTTTGCGCAATGTTTCATTCTTCAAACCTTGAAAGCGCGACAGAAATTGCAGCTTTTAATTAAAACTTAATGTTTCGTTAATTTCCATTCTTATTTAATGATTTGAGAAATAGTTTATGTTAGTTTGAACAAAAGATTTATATTTTAATAAGAATGTTTGTTTTGTTTTCAGAATGCTGCAACGCTTGGAGGGTGCTTCGATTGATCTGCTGTTCATCATCATAAAGAAGAGCGGAAGAGCGGTGAGTAATGATTAAAATTTTTCACGGCTTCTAGTCAAAACGGTTATTTCGAAGGAGCAACATGTTTAATAGCATTTGACGCAAGTGGAACAACTTGGTCGGTTTATTATAACAGAAGAGTAAGTTTGACAGAAAGCAAGAGAGAAACCTGTTCGCTCGAGGGAATATCAAAATCTTCATTACATAATCTTAATACGTGTATCTTAATGAAGTGTATTTTGGAAACTTTGCATTATTCCACGTGGAGGGCAAATTTATCTTTATTCACTGCGTCTGCTATATCTTTTCGAAATAACCAGTTTAATTTTTGCCACACTTTATCTTTCGCGCTTTCACATTTTTCGCACGCGTGATCTCATGCGTATGCAAATGATTCAGAATATATTCCGCGAACAACTATCGTGATGCCCACGAAAGCCTAATCATCTTATGTCAAAGATGCGCCAATGGTTTCGCGTTAACCGCACAATCTCTCGGAATACATATACACATGTCACGCGAATAGGTTGATTATTAAAAAGGAATGATACGCGCGCGACCGGAAGTGATTCACGGTGGCGTCGTCATGGCTTAAAAGGAAATCATTGTTATTTCTAAGACTTGTTGACAGGCGCTCGTCATGTCGCAATATGTTCGTGGCATACACATTTATCGGTATAGTCACGACAGCGATAATCATTAATGACGATAATAAGAAAATAGAAAACAGGAGTACATTATTTACTTTTAATTATATTCTCTTATCTTCTATTTAATTGATTTTCAAATTAAATTATATCTCCTTTTCTTATTTTTATCTTTACATTGTAACTATGATTATATTAATTCTGAATTTTTTATGAGATAAAGAAGATAAGGTGCAAAAATAGTATAAAAAATAAAAGTAGGACACAAAAACAAGAAATACAGCTGAAAAGATTAGGATCCTTTTGAACACATTATTGATTCGACCTCTCTTTGAGATTCGCAATCTCCAACGGAGCAAACGCGCGATTATGTATCCGATATCAATCTTCCAGCGTTCCACATACGCACACATGTAATCAGGCAATACGCGTATATTGCTATACCGCGTACCTTGCTTATGGCAAGGTCGTTTCGGGATATTTCGCACGCGCCAAACACCTTTCGTAGCCTCAAAAGGCGACATCTTGCTCTCGCAACGACTGCCGGATTATTTGTTTTCGATTCCTCTTGAGCGCTTCTTCCATTGATCACTAACTCTAAACTTGGCAGTGTGTCATAGAAGTGTTTTTATAATTTAATATGTTTAATTATTTTTATCCATGTTTTATTATTATCTTTTTTAAAGAAAATTAATTTATTATAAATTATGGTAATATATATTATACGTTTATTAGAATCAAATTAACATATAAATCATATTACTTATATTAATTCAAGTTCAATCATTAACAATTATGAGTTAATTTAAATAGAAGCAAGAAAACGAAATAATGTCAAGATAAGAACGTTCAATTTGTTTTCTCGTCGTTAAACCTTTTGGAAACAAGTTATTCAGAAAAATAACAGTGAGAATAAATGTGATGAATGCCTAATTACGATATCTAATATTTCGTTGAAACAAAGAAAGTATATAGATGTTTGACAAGTGTGGCTTTGAACTATTCAGATACCAACAATTATCAATCGCGCAATGGAATTTCAATTATATATCCTCGAAACAATAGAGAGAGTATCTAACTCAAGAGCATTAATCTCACACTAATAAGTCTTTATCTATTAGAAGTGGAATGTGATTCTATTTTATCGCGTGGCGAGCTCACGCAACTTTGTCTACCGAGTGGAAAGAAAAGAAAGAAATATCGCGCCGTAATTTTGACAGAGAGGAAACATGTGCGCCACTTGAGGAAAAGGAGTCTCTCGCGTGCGCGCGCGCGCGCGTCTGTAAACGCTAATTTGTTTGAGCGAGAACAAATAAACGGCAACGGAGAATAACGTTGCGCAGATGTGTAGCGCGAGCATAATCGCCGCCGTCGTTGATTTCTTTGAAAACCCTGTGTCGCCGGTTACGTGTTCCTAATAAATATACGTCGCTCGATCGCGCTCGATGTCTCATATATAGTCCTCGTCATTAACGATCTTTCGCGATGACTCGCATCGAATCAACATGTTCTTCAGCACTAATCTTTTTTATCGGATAAAAGTTCGCGTTATCGCTTAATCTCCGTCGAGAGACAGAGAATTTGCTGTGTAATTAATCGAATAATTTCCCGTGCGCTTTCGTCATTCATGGACGAAATGAGTTTTTCTTGCGGGGAAAAAACACTCTTCTCGGAGCCACTTAATTAAATTTAATTAAATTAAATTAAACTAATTAATTTAATTTAATTTAATTTAATTAAGTAAGTAATTGAATGAGGAAATCGAATTAACAGACATTAATAATTAGCATTTCGTATACATAAGTAATTATACTTCCTTCATAATTCAATTTCCATTTTCTATTTGCGAGACTCCGATGTTTACAAAAATAGAATGTTCTAGATTCACACATAAAAGAAACATATACACATAATTAGCTCAGTTAGTTGAGTCATTCACTGTTATGATTGTGATTGTAGTAATTTAGCGAATCGTTTCAACGAAGATAATAGTAGCTAATTCCAATCCTATTTTCTTTCACATCTGTTGCCTAATGAATAGAAAAAGAATTAGATGCGCAGTTATTTATTCCGGTGATTCGTCTTACGCCAAATTAACGAACATCGTGCGTAGTTTTCGCACTAAGGCCGACTTCCCCGAAGAAGTTACTGCCGTCGAGATTTGTTTTCCCGACCGAATCTCGCTTCTCTCCGTGCGCAGCGAGCGGTCCGTCGTGCGTCGTACGCGAAAACACATAATGCATCGCGCGGCGAGGTAATATCTATTTTCGGTTTAATTGGTTACATTAAGCCTGGCAGGCTGGTTAATTTAACACAACCGCGACGCTAATCCGTGCTCATTATTGCGCGGCAATCGAGTGAATAACTTCTCTGCGTCCTCGCGCGCATTGCGTTCGATGCACATTTTTCCTCGATCAATGAAAAAGCGTCCTCGTCGCGCTCGCAACATCTTTATGATGAGCGCCATCCGAGCGTTATTAACCGCTGGGCTGTAAATTTCACGAGGGTCGCGGAAGTGAGTCATTAGCGCATCTCCGCCTATCTCCCGGTCCATCGCCGACCTTCATCGTTCGCTCTTGATAATTTTTGTGAAGTCGTCGTGTCCGACTCGAGTAAATCGCGCAAGTCGCGACAACCACTTACACTTTACAGGCCATTAAGGCGAAAATCATTTTTTCCTGGCGATCAGTCGGCCAATGAACGTGAATATCCTCGCTGGAATCGACCTTGATAACGCGCGATTACTTCGCGACACGATTGCGAATGCACGATCTTCACTTGAACATAAACTTGTCGCTATCGATTATGTACCAATCGTAAAATTGATTCTGAAAGATTCGCTCATTTAATCGATTGATTCGCATTTAATTTATTTAATATTGCTCAATGACGTAAAGAAGAAATTAGAATGAAGAATAATGATTTAAAAGCAAAATAAGATGTAAAATCAGATTCAAATTTTGAATTATTAAATTTATTACTCGCTATATGTAGAGACTTAACGGTACGATAAATATTGAGAGAAAATTTTGCAAAGTTTGTAAGTAATCAGATTTGATATCTTTATCTTGATATGTTGAAACGCGTAGTATTGGCGTTTAACTACTTGATTAAATCAGAACGATCATATCGTAAAAAAAATAGTTGCTAATCAGAAAACTGATCTTTGCCGTAGTTTGTGCAATAAGGAGATAATTGGACGAGCGCATTCTTAGTAATTTTTATTCATCGTCCAGATTTTTTGCATCCAAATACACATATAAAAAGCGCAGCTCGATCAGGTTTTTTTCTGAAGCTGAATCAGCAGATTCAAATGATTAAGTAGGCGAACCTTTCAGAATCAATTTTGCGGTTGATGCGCGATTGGCGGCGGCGTCGATTACGCTTCCAATCGCCATTCTTAATCGAATATTATCTATGCGCGGGGAAAAAAATACGCGTCGACGTTCTGCATCCATTTCTCATTATGCTCCTATTAATTATGCTACCTTGCCTGTCGTCACTTTGAAAAGAGCAAATGCGACGTTCGATTGATGGTTGTGCCGTGTAGCACTCGTTACACAACTGCAATACGTGTCTAGAAAAAATGGTAAATTTTTACTTTTTATTTTTTTCAATTAAACATAGAGATGCTTATGAATAACATCTGCAATCTGACATTAAGTAAATAACTGAAAGATTAATCATAGACATAATTATTTAATACTATAAGAAAATGTATTTCTTTAATTGCTAGTTTAAAAAATTTAACTATTAATTATTTAAAGTGCATATTGCTAAATCGATTTGTTCATCGATATTTAAATTTAAGACATATTGAATCTTTTCAAATACATTATAAATATTTCAAATATTTGACAAAAAAGAAAATCTTTAAAAACTTTAATAGGTAAGATGAAGAAGATAAAAAGATTAGAAAAAATTTTTACCATTGTGAAAATTTCGTCGTATAAACATGGTTTGCCGAGAAAATTCGGACAAAGATATCAATCTTAAGACATCTTTTTCGGCTTCGTTTGACAGGTAAAAGATACCCGTCAAAAGATTGAGGCGGGCTCGATTGTGGACCATCTGTAAGTATTCTGCTGGCCGCAGGAGGCAATAGGTGTATGTTTAGGATAGGAGTAAAGGAGCGCGGTAATTGGACGGAAGCCATCAATTATCGAAGGACGAGAGAGAGAGAGAGTCCTGGGATAGAAGCCCCGGCAGTTTTCGGTCACTCCCGCCCTCTTTCCCTGCCTCGTTATCCGCTGATTACCGATCTCTGTCTCTCACGGTGGCTTAATCCTCAAACATCGCTATTGGTGGTCCCAGGGTTGTGAGTTTAGCAAGGTGGTCCGGTATTAAATCATAAATGCCAGCGGGAGAATGGAG